TGCGAAGCCTAGATTCTGTATTAAAACAATGAAGCTGTTAAACTAGGACGATGGCATTGCAAACGGACAAAGAAATTTACTAACCCTTGCGCGTTTACTGTCTCGTTCGGCAGTTCTAGTATTTGAGCCAGGGTGAGGATTCAATGGGGAGTGTCTAAGGCCAGCTGAGTTACCCAATGTTCACAGTTCTATTTCTCTTATCCTACAGGAACAGGTGTCAAAGGTGTGCTGTGCCATTGTTCCAAAATGCAGCGAGAACTTGAGGTGATACTTGTGGTTTATTCGAGGGGATGACTGTCATTGCTCACCAATTTCTTGTTTAGGTGGTCGTTCAACAGCACAGCTGCATAGGCCAAGCTTATGCAAGTGTCTCGCTTTGAAGAGCTTTTTACCAGTGTTCCTTGAATGCTCTATGATTCTTGACGTAGTGGCAGCTTTGCTTTTTGTTTAAAGTAATCTACTAGATTAATAACGATCAAACATGCTCAGCTTCTAAGAAGCTTCCACCCAGCACGATCGAAGAGCTTTGGGGTGCTTGAGCGCGACCATTAGGATGTAGAGTGCCTTCAGCAATAGAAGGCATGAAAATCTCATTGACAAACTAAGAAATGCAACCTTTGCTAACCGCCTTCAAACCCTAGAGCCTGCTTTGATCTGTCGAGAGTAGCTCAGGTTTGGCCCTAAACAAACAAAATCAACCGTGCCTCCGAGGTCTCCGGCGCCTTCGCTATTCCATAATTAAGATTGTATGGAGATGCAGCATCACAAAATGTACCATATCAATTCTGTCACATGACCACAGCGTTTGAAGCACTCTGCTCAGAATTTCTGCCCTACGAGGAACTTGGAGAGGTGTGAGTCCAAGCGGCGAGTTTTCACGGAGCATCAACACAGCTACAGTACATGCATGGAGCAACACCACGACAACCTTGTCAGGCACCAAGTGTTGAACTCTAGCACTCGGGTTGTCAATAGCCGCCGCGTGAACCTTGCAACCGCCACATCGTAACGGTGATGTATGGTGGACGAATTATAAACAGCTGTGTGATTGACCCTGAAGGCTAACCAGCAACCCTTACAAAACGCCACTCAGTTGAGTCTTGTTACAAGAAACCTTACAGTAGTGGTGTTGTCGTATGGTGGGTGGTACCGGCCACTATCACTGGATAAGCAAACGATTCTCCTTGCAAGTTTCAGATAACAATCAAGGCCAAGAAGAAACTACCTTCAAACATAGTGAACAATAGAATGTTGTTCTGGGGGTAGGGTCGATTTTCGCCTATTATCATCTTGACTGATAGACTCCAAAAACCATGTGAAGCAGTTGACGGAGAACAGACAACCTTTAAGGTGAGCTGAAAACTCTAGTGTCTGGATGTCAAATGGTCCTCTGGCGACAGGAAACGTAACAATGCTGTCATCGTCGGCATACACAGCATGCAATAGCCAAGATCTCTAGATCGTGGCTTTGTTCTTGATGGCATCACGAGAAGTTTGTGATAGATCCGACGTCTCCTCGCAGCTGAGTGAGACACCCCCCGAAAGAGGCCGGGAGATTGACATGTCAGCTCTTCAAAGTTAAGGTTCAGCCAAAAGTATCGCCTTGCCAAGCTTCCATAAACGGACATCTTTGGAGCGGCTGAAAATGCGGAGTTGAAGCCACGAGCCGCCCTTACTAACTTCATGTGATCACTCTTCCTCAATACTTATTGCCCGACTGCTCTTTGCTGATCAACTCCATAATTCTCTAAGTTAGGTTGGCGCTCACCGAGACATCGCCAGTCAATATCAGTATCATTTCATGACCAGCCATGTCCGACACATCTTTCAGGCCGTCTCGTGAACTTTTCACGGATTCTGCTCCAGATGATTATCCCCAGCTGGAAATGGATTCTTCCGACTCTGACTCCGACTTCGAAGTTCTTGACGACTTGAGCTCGCTTTGCCTCTCTGATGTTGAACCCGGAGATGAGCCTAGAGTGGAAAATCGCTCCTATTTGAGGGGTATAGTTGATATGGGAAGGCAAGTCACGTTCCATCTTAAAGTTGATCAGGGTTACGCAGACAGCTTATCCTAGGATGCAATATCCATGAGATGGGATACATGATATTGAGTTCTCAGCTGACGGATGACTTGCCAGCAACGGGATCCGCTTCTCAGTCACAGACCTATCCCCTCCCCTCTCTCGCATTCTTCCGACAATCCATGTTTATCGTGTCGCCATATCACTCTACGACGCACAGTTTGACCCCGAGACTGGACGCAAGATCCCCATCCCCCAAGACGTCATCGGCGAAACCGTGGCCGCCCTCAATCGTTTCAAGCTTGTTTGTGCCGATCTTGGTGTTCCCCGAGCAAATATCCACATTGTCGCCACTGAAGCAACCCGCGCTGCCCTTAACTCTGCTGAGTTTCTCAAAGAAATCACCTCAGCTACCGGTCTCACTGTCGATATGCTTCACAAAGAGGACGAGGGACGGGTCGGCGCCTTGGGCGTTGCGAGCGGCTTTTCCGATATTCGAGGCCTCATGATGGACCTTGGAGGTGGCAGCACTCAGATTACCTGGATCATATCCCAAGCCGGAAACGTCCGTATCAGTGATAAAGGATCTATCAGTTTTCCATATGGAGCGGCCGCATTGAGCAGGACTCTCGAGGATCTGAAGAGGGGTAAATCGAAGGATGAGGCGGCGAAGGCATTGGAAAAGCTACGTCAGGAGATGATCAACAAATTTCAAGACGGGTACAAATCGATCGCGGTCCCCGATAGCCTGGTAGAGGAAGCCAAAGAGAATGGCGGATTCCCGCTCTATCTCTCTGGAGGGGGTTTCAGAGGTTGGGGCTATCTGCTGCTGTACATGAGTCAAGTCGGCAAGCATCCCCATCCGATATCCATTATCAATGGTTTCACTGTTGACAGGGAGAGGTTTGAGAACACAAAGGCTATGGAAGAGGTTGCTCGGACAGCACATTCAGTGTTCCGGGTTTCTGATCGGCGGAGGAAGCAAGTCCCTGCTGTTGCGTTTCTGGTCAACGTCCTATCCCACGCCATTCCGCATGGAATCCGAGTTGCGCACTTTTGTCAAGGAGGCGTGCGAGAAGGCCTACTCTTTAGGGAGCTTGAACCAAGCATCCGGGCACAGGACCCGCTCGAGGTCACAACGCAGCGCTTTGCTCCCGAGTCAGTCCAGGCCATTACCAACCTTCTCATGTTCTCATGTCCCGAACCCTCAAAGGGTGGTACCCGCAGATTCCCGGATGCCATAAATTCGCACGTCATCCAGGCATTCGCCAATCTTCTGTACGTCCACACCATCATGGACAAAGAGCTGGCCTCGACAGCAGCCATGTACAGCACGAGCGCCGGATTACTCGCTTCCACCCGTGGAGTTTCCCATGAGGATAGAGCCAGGCTTGCCTTGATGCTGGAGTCGCGGTATATGGGTGAGCTCCCCCCGCGCGAGGCTCAGTTCAAGGAGGCACTCCGCCGTGTCATCACACCAGAGGAAGTTTGGTGGGCTGGATACCTTGGCAGGGTTGGGTATCTCATCAGCCGCCTCTATCCGTCAGGTAAGATTGACGAGAGCAAGCCTCGAGTCATTCTTTCATCTGAATGGGCTTGGGATCTAGGACGCAAGAAGCAGAGGGAAGGGGTCAAGTTGACAATCTCGGTGCAAAAGGTCAAACATGACCCTGCCAAATTGAAGAAAGCGTTGAGGGACCACGTAAAGATAGTGGAGAAGGTCGGAAAGAAGAAGAACTGGATTGGAGGACCGGATGGATGGGGAATGAAGGTAAAGCTTGTGGTTGTGGAAGAGGATATTATGGCTTGACCTGGCGTCCACACAAAAAGTTGAATTGAATTGTAGTCTTTACCTGGCCCCTGAGAATGACAGCTGCCAAGGCATGATAGTTAGATAGGTTGCAACATATTTATTTACAAGAAGTATAATTATTATCCACTCAGACTCCCCTTTGCTGTCGCATGATTGCTTCCTGGCAGATTTAAAGGCTCAGCTCGACATCTAGCAGCATTGCCCATTGTGAAGGTCGCCTTCGGGGAAGAAACAGCACTGGCTACAGCAGAAAGTCGCAAAGTTGTCGACACTGCAGCCCTTCACATTCGCAGGACGGCACACAAACGGCGGGTCGCTGATGCTGGTGGTAGTTGCGACAGTGGTAGAGACGGTGAGCACTGAAGTGCTGCTCTCGGTAGTGAACGTGGTGGTTTCGGCAGTGATCGTGGCTGCTGACTTGGTCAACGAGAGGCTTGAAGTTTGAGAGATGCTCCAGCTCAAGGTTTGCGTGGTGGTAGAAAGGAGTGTGGTTAAGCTCGGGGGCTTGCATGGTGAGGCCTGGGTACCAGGCAGCGCGAGGAAGGCGAAGAATACCGCTGCCGCAATGTGCTTTTTCAGGGCCATCATTTCTGATGGAGAAAAGAACGAAACGAGTGAAACTAATGACGACAAGCGCCGGCAGATGTTGAGCGTCGTGAGTCTTACTTTATAATTCAGGGTCTCCCTAAGAATTGACATTGGTGACAGCTTTAGTATCAACAGTATCGGCCTTAATTGCACGCTAAGATGCTTGAAAACCAACGGTTTGGGCATTGGAGACCGTTGATTAGATCTTTGGTCCCTGACTGCCATCTTAAATTGCTTTTGGCGTAAAGGTGGCTGCGCCATCAACTGCCGTGCCGTTGTTCAGCTGAGGTCGGTGTGAAGCCACAGACGTGTTCAACCAACACCGCCATTAGGAAAATGGGATGGAGAGATCAGGAAGGGAGCCGAATGGACTCTCTGCCCAAGACAACACACCCCCGGTCTGAGCCGAATTGCACATCTATCACAAGACTCGGAGAGATGCTTATAAATACATTCCTTATTAATAATTGCCAAACTCATTACCGATATGGAACTAAGCCGCTCAAACGTACTGTGGGCATAACAATGGGTGTTGATTTCGATAAGAATACTTAAGAGCACACTACAGCGTGAAGATGCATCAAACATACTCTCCTATGAATCCGGTATCTCAAATTTGCCACGGAAACTATATCTCAGAAACTCGTCACTGTGTATGGCGCCACTGGTGCTCAAGGAGGCAGCGTTGTCAGGGCACTTCTGCGCGACAAGTTTTCGTCGTGTACTATCCGCGGCATCACTCGCAGTCCAGACTCGGAAGCAGCCAAAGCACTTGCAGCAGAGGGTGTTGAGATCGTCAAGGTCAACATCTTCGACAAAGATGAACTTGCTGCAGTGTTCAAGGGAAGTTGGGCTGTTTTCGTCAACACCAACTCAGACGACCCAGTATGCTACCCCTCTTGCATCGCAGCCAATTCATCAAATGTTCACGATATTAGTCCATCGGATCTCCCGGATTGCCCACCAAAACGCAAATTGGCCTGTTGGCCGTCGATGCCGCGGTTGAGGTGGGGGTAAAATATTTTATATATAGCGGCCTTGCTTCTGCTTCCAGGATTACGTCTGGAGCTGTCCTCTGTCTTTGTTTCGATGGTATAGTATTGGATCCCACTCTTCAATGCTTTCCTCGAGACCTAATGTCCCTGCAGAAAAGGAGCACATCGGAAAATATGCACTTTCCCAGTCCTCCCTTCGATCAATCGTGGTCAATCCCGCATACTACATGGAGAACTTCAACGCCAAGGAATGGTCCGAGTACCTTGGCGGTCTCCCATTCTATCAAGACTCTGCAGGTTACTATACCCTCAGTTGGCCACTTTGGGGGGGGGGGGGATCCAACGAGGTTCCATTGATTGCCATCGAGAGAGATTTTGGCGATATCGTCCATGGAGCGCTCCTAAACGCCGATCAGCTGTGTGGAAAGACCATACAGGCGGCTAGCCAGTCCAAGCCACTTGAAGAGATCCCTACCGACTTTGAACATGGTATGACACACAGCTTCATTTCGGCGCTGGCAGCTAACTTTAATGAACAGCAACCGGGAAAAGGGCGCGGTTTGTACCCCCCGAGGATTAGCGTTTGCTGAAAACCGACGGAACAAGAGTCATGCAGACTGTCAAGGACATGTTTGGGTTTTGCTACGAGTCTGGTGGATTGTATTATGGCGAGCCTAACAATGTCGATGTCTCTGCATCGCTGAAGCAGGCAGCCGCCGCAGCACAGGGAAGGTCGGGAGAGAACACTCGCCTCTATTCGTTAGGCGAGTACGTCAAAGACGTCTTTGCTTAGGCGGCGTCTCGATCTAGACAGCATTTTATTCACTGCGGTGTTAAAGCTGACCTCGGCTCTAGGATAGTTTACGGACAAGACCAAAGGTCAACCCATGGCTATGAAATTGGGCGGATTGTACCACCTTGAACCTGCATAAAATTGTGACACTCTTTTCTTTGTACAACGACTCTGATCGTCGTATTCCTTTGCTTTTTTGCCCCTATGGCTCACGTTACCGTACCCGAGGGGGTCGGTGTTGGTCTCTAATCGCGAATATCTCATCAAGAACCAGTAAACTCCTTGCTCGTTTACTGCGTAGGGTGACGTGACCCATGCATCGGAACCATCCCCTCCTTCCTTGTCACCAATGACTTGCCTGAAAGGGGCTATCTGGCGCAATAATAGTGAACGAGTTATTAAGATATCATGGTATTAAAACCCAGTGTTGAAAACCCGCTTAGAACATGTCAGGGACAAGAAGCAAGATATGGGGTCGAACATGCTAACGGGGAGCAGTGTGAGAGAAATAATTATGGCAACATTATCATTTTATACTCTGCCTAACCTAGTTGTTTGTCTACCTAGCGAAAGAGGAAACCGGGGAATATGCTCGCTGGGGTCGATCAAGAAGCTCATCTGGCCGACCAGGTTGGCATTACCACGGACCCGAGGAATACAGGCCTTGAACCCATCCACGGGCGAAGGCTCCTCCGAGAGGACGTCTGCTTCAAAATATGTCCCAATAATACTTTGGTGAATCAGCTTTCCTCGGCCTGCACCGACTCGACCTTGAGATAAGAGAACCGCCAGCCTGGAGCAGGTCCCAGAGCCGCAGGGCAAACGATCAATTTGTCCGTCCGCAAAAACAACAACGTTCCTCTGTCTCACAACTCCAGACTCATCCCGGGCTCCGTCTTCCTCGTTGAAAATGATGATGGCGTAGAGCTCGTAGCCTCGATGGAGGGTTCGTTGGCCGAGTGAAGCCTTCACTTCCCGGCCTAATTGGACAAAGTCATCATGATTGTCGGGTGAGACTGCCAGCCCAATCTGGCTTAGGTCGATACTGGCATAAACGGCGCCTGACCAGACCAAATCGACCTTGATATCCAAGGAGCGAGAGGGCAAAGTGACAATGAGTTCCTTGGCCCATTGATAGCTGAGAACCTGGATAAACTCGGCGTGAATGGGCTTATGGTCCTTGATCGCCATCCGAGCCTTGACTCTTCCCGAAGGGACATCAATAACCACGTCAACCTCTCCATTTTCCGGAACTTAAACCATGCCGTTAGAAATAGCCCAATATCCGAGAGCGATGGTGCCATGACCACAGGCAGTAGAGAACCCGTCATTATGCCAGAAGAGAACGCCGAATAGAGCGCCGGCATCATTGGGAGGGGTGATGAAACCGCCGTACATATCGGCATGGCCACGAGGCTCGTGGCAGAGGGATTTTCGGAGAACGTCAAGGGGATGGTTGGGCAGGGCCATAATGTTGAGACGGCGCTCTTCAACAGTTTGTCCCTCTGTCTCATGGCCAGGTGGGAACTTGGTGACAATTCGGAACGGCTCGCCGGCAGTGTGCCAGTCTTCCGACTCAACCCAGTACGGCTCAGCTGGGGCGGTAGTCATGTTGGCTGGTGAACGGGGTTGATTCAGAGTGGGTCGATAGAGAACAAAGGGTGCCTTGGTTTAAGAGCACCTTGAATAGTCAGATGAGATAAATCTGGACCGTAAACCCTTGCGAGGCGGGAATGATTTCCTCCTGTTTAGCACACGTTGATGGCTCTTTCTTTATACCCGACCTTCCTCGAGGCCATAACAGTTTGCTGAATAATGTCTTCATTGCTTTCGATTCATCCTGCCTTACAAATCAACTTTGCGTATCGGGTTCAGTCACATCTGGATCGGTATCGATCCCGGGGAGCGTGGGTTACTCGACTATCTCATAGTCTGGCCGTCGATGAAAAAGGAAGTCGATGGCAGCTCTTTCTGCATCAGGTTTCTACCAATCAAGAACAAGTTAGCGTTGGTCAAGTCTCATGGTGCATGGCGAGTGGAGCTAAACTGGGGTCGTGGATTTTGGAGATGTCACGATAATTGATAAGCGTAGAGAGAGCGTGACGACTCCTGGTCAGCTGCCCTTCTACAGCTTGTTTCAAGTTAACCCTAATCGTAAAATAGCAGAAAGATGTATTATTATACAGGTAGCTCAGAAAACCGGCTCTCTTGTAGTAGTGGTCAGGTCCCGAACATGCCGAAGCTGGCGAGGGCTATTCATTAAGTCCTGGGGCCGCACAGGCACTACATACTAATCTCAATATACTATCCTAGCTATGACTCATAATGAGACAGAGCGACACATATCTTAAGTATTAGATATAGAACAGAGCTGCTAGATATAAAATAGGGCAATCCAGAGAAGGATATTTACCAAGAAGGCAGTTTACATACAACTCTACCAACTCAAACAACCGCCCACACTTTTTTTAAACCACATCTTTGTTTTCTGCTGTTAATACCTCTCCATGAAAGCTTATCAATTTTTGGGGCCCGAGCTGGGACTCCAACTGAAAGACTTGCCGATTCCAAAGCCTGGCCGTGGTGATGCTTTGATTCAGGTCAAAGCCGCAGGCCTTTGTCACTCAGACACTCATGTTCTTCACGGAGGTGGTGCCGCTTGGATGTGCGCCCTACACATCGTTCTCGGTCACGAAGTTGCTGGGGTCATTGTCCAAGTCGGTGAATCGGAGGATCACACATTCCGAGTTGGGGACCGTGTAGCCGTCGCCTGTACGGGGCACCCCATTGAGAAACGCAATTTTCAAGAGGCCATCGGAGTCGGTCGTGATGGGGGTTATGCCGAATACACAGTAGCCCCCATCAAAAATCTGGTTCATCTTCCGGATTCGGTCAGCTTCGCCAAAGCCGCCGTGGCTACAGACTCGATCGCTACTGCATACCACGCAGTCGTTTCCGAAGGGTGTGTGGGAGATTCCTCCATAGTTGCAGTTCTTGGATTAGGGGGTCTGGGGCTCAATGGCGTTGCCATTGCTGCTCTTCGTGATGCGAAAGTATATGGAGTGGACATCAACACCTCCAAGTTTAGCCAAGCGAAGGAGCTTGGTGCTATCGACTGTGCGACAAGCTTGGAACAGTTTCCGAATGTAAAGTTCGATGTTATCATCGATTTTGCAGGTGCACAACAAACCATCGGAGCAGCCATGTCGACGGTTCGGCCAGGAGGAACAATCGTGGTTGTAGGGCTTGCAGCAGAGACCATCCAATTCACGACAACAGACCTTGTTACGAAAAACATTGCGCTGAGGGGATCGACTAGCGCCAGTCTTGAAGAGTTCCGTGAAGTGGTCTCGCTGCTGGAGTCAGGAGCTTTGAAGCCGCAGATCAAGCAGATCCCCTTCGACGATGTTGCCGATGGTCTCGAAATGCTTGGAAGTGGGCACGTGGCTGGTCGTTTGTATGTAGTTCCCTCGGACGATGTGGAAATCTAGCGGGAGTTTGAGGCGGCAGCAAAAACACGGTTCTATCAATAGCTATAAACGTTCTCTTGAAAGAGCAATCCACGTCGCATCACAAGCCGCATATTGAAGACCTGTTTCCCCCTCAATGGTAGTCTCAACAAACATTTTCCGCCCCGATATTTCCATCAAAGTGACCTTGACAAGTACAATGGCCGGTGTCGGCAACGGTTTCTTGAGTTTCATGTCCATGCGCGCCGTGACTGTGTTGACGGCTGTGAGATCCATCACATCCTCAGGCAATGTCTGTTGCAGCTTTTCCTCCGCCTGGAGCCGATAATTGATATAGAAGTAGCTTCCCATGGCTTCATCTATCAAAGCTGCTAGGAGACCACCGTGCGTCCAGCCCTGAAAGCCATTGACACCGGTCTGAAGGTCAAATATCATGGAGGCCGAGTCCAAGAGTAGTCGAGAGGCCTTTTGTCTCGAGCCACCAAGATCCGAATTCAGCGTAGAAGGACGAGTATAGAACCCGACGCAAGCAGGAACCGCCTCTGCTTTATTCAAAACATGTCTGAAGAGTTGGTCCTTGGAGATGGATATCCCCGCTGGATCCGGCGGAGAACGACAAGGCGGGTCGAAAGTCACCATGTCGGGAGACCCCAGCAGGGAAGCACACCAGGGAACTGACTCGAAGTGAATTTTCGCATTCTTGAATGTGTCTTGTGAAGTGGATTCTACCACTTCATGCAGAGTTAGAAGGTATCGTGTAAATGGGGGTGGAGGAGGGGCTTACTCATCGCTTGCGCATTTGGTGAGAATAAAACTGGATTTCGTCGCTGCAACTCAACCCCAACAAGCAGGAACAAAGAGCTTAAGTCTCGTAGAGCTACCCCTGACGAATACTAAGCAGGGATAATGAAGGATGATAACGTGGTGGGCTGGTCATCCAACCTCGGCCTTGGCGCAACTACCTGCAAGAAAACACAACCACGATCAGCCACACAACATGACAGACATTGAGATGAGAGCTACACCTTTCTGCCAGACCACACTGCTAGATTTGCCTCGAGGAAGATCTAAATCACTTATGAGCCCATGCTTCAAGTAATGTCAAATCATGAACAATGCCAAATAGTGGCTTCCTCGCATGTGAACGACCTTGAGGAGTCGACCTCGGCATTAAGTGGGTCTCGATGATAACCCCTTGGAAACCTTTGACCAAGACCCTTCGAATGGTCCCTCAACAAAATCCCGTATTTTTTTTTAGATCTTTCGGGGGTTGACGTTGTGCGATGCCCGGAATCTCCGGGCATTCTGAAACCCCTTGTCGCCATGATATAAAGGCTACCACCCCCCGGCCCCCTGGTATCCTGAAACTAGATCCAACCCTCACAGCCATCATCATGGACGACTTCCTAGTGGCCTCGCCAGAAGCTCTCTGGTCAACATTGAAGTCAGTGTTTAACCTCAAAACACTGGCTTTTGCCTTTCTCCTCGCCAATTTCAAGAGTCTGCATTTTATGTGGTTTGTACGCACCCCCCACCATCGTCTCGATCGTCATGTCCGGTCAGATCCTAACCCCTTCAGGCACGCTTCCTCCGCGCCTTCGTCCGCCGCCTCACCGACTCGGCCCCAAATAAGCATCTCTCTCCCCGCTGCCTCTTCCTCCCTGCAATCAGTGCAACCCGCTCTCCCGCCCTAGAATGCGACTACAACCTCCACAAGTCCAACTCGACCTACTTCACCGACATGGACATGTCTCGGGGCAACTTCTGTCTTGTCCTCTTCAGCAAGCCCTTCAACCCGATCCCAGGGCCAAACCACTTCACCATGATTCTCGGTGGAACAACGTGCACGTGGAGGAAGGAGATCAAGCCGTATGCGCCGTACGAGCTATGGACGCGAATCCTCTCGTGGGATGAGAAGTGGCTCTATGTTGTGACACACTTTGTCAAGCCGGGTGTGTTTCACCCAGACGAGTACGTTATGCAGCCAAAGAAGAAGACCAGTTCCAAGAAGAACAAGGAAGATGTTGAGTTGCTAAAGGCTGTGTATGCTTCTTCGGTGGCGCGATACGTGTTCAAGAGCAATAGGCGGACTATACCACCTGAGCAAGCTCTTAGAGACGCTGGTCTGCTGCCCGAGGATGAGACTGAGTTGGCAGAGGTTGAGAAGACAAGAGCAGATGCACTGGCCATTGGAAGGCTTGAGGCAGGGTGGGATGCCGTCCATGGTTGTCTTCAACCTACAGGGGCTGCCCTAGGCTGGTATAATAGTGCTTATTAGGGTAACTGACCAAGCATTAATAGAGTATAGAGGTACATGAAGGGCTTTCCAAAAATGCGTATCTATACGAACCCCAAGGAATAAGAGTTGGGCCTTGATTGATCTGGTAGGCTAGCTACGTCTGCCGTGATTTCCAAGAGATGCTTTCCCTCATTTCAGCAGGAAACACACAGCCCAAGGGGCCTTGATGACAATCTCCCGATTAGCTAATGCGAAATGTCCCTATGTTCCTTCTCCAACTTCTTCGACCCCTTGGCAACATGCCAGAGGGTACAAAAAGCAGACCTGTACGAGACCATGTGGCGTCGTTTGGCTCGATAACCATGAAGATCAGCCCGGCTGATGATGACTCTCCCATGTAGATACACTTCCTGAACCCTTTCTTCGTAACAGCCTCATAGAACTTAGAGGGACTCAACACCGGCGTCCGGCGATCGAGAAACGAGTAGAACACGCGGAGGTGGTCGTATGGATTCTCAGAGAAAACCACGGAGGAAGGAAGAAACGCTGTTCGGATCTGGATGACAGAAGGGGCCAATGGATCGAGGGCCTTCTGCTGTATACATCTGATGTGATCGGCCGTCGTACGCACAGAGCCGTTCTCGAGCTCAAGAGACAATGATTTGACACCACTTTCCCAGCTCCAGTCCCCTGGACGTCCGTGGTTAATGTAGCCAATCTCGCCCTGCCATCCTGCCCAGGACCAAGATGGAAACTCCAGCCTGCGCCGTGGTCGGTACTGATAATCTGTGGCTGGGTCAGGCGGCTTGCTCTGCCACACGAGTCCTTGAAGAAACCATTCTTCTGGATTCATTACCCCCTCGCCGGCCATGAAAGGAATACCGTGTATATGATGAAATTGTGGTAGGGAGTTCACAAACTTGTCGAGGATGCCGGAGAACGCCTCTAGGGCATCGCTATCGTACGATAGATCCCTACCCGAATACTGCTCTACCATTCTCTGGAACCGGACAAAGGCCTGGTACGGCTGCAGCTTCCGCTCATCAAAGAGACCGTATACCTGGTCGTGGTTTCTGCCGAACATGCCGGCTCTCATGGCGTTGCGGAACCGCGATCGATCTTTCATGTGCAGTCTATCGAGGGAGGCTCGAGAATTCCAGCATGTGATACTTTCGTGACAGTTCATAGCGCTGCACTCGAAGTAAACTTGGTCGTCTGTGAAAACAAGGCGTCGACGACTCAAGACTCCCTCTTGAAACGTCCACGCTCGCGTAGACCACTTTGAAGATCGTATTGTATCGTGAGGATGTCTCATCGTTGAGCGTAGTTCTACATCTCCGCAGCCGATACGTACAGCTGGCTGCTCATTCCGGCCCCGGGAACCAACGCCAGGAAGTCCGTATTCGGGATCCTGTCCAGCAGCGGCAATGATCGTAAGGCTGGCGTTGTGGTAGATGGAATTCATTTGCGCAATCTGGTCATGCTGGGCATGTGCGTCGTTTTGATCGATGCAGTATCTGTCCACCCAAAGATATTGGAACCCCAGTCTCTTTGTGACGTCGATAGTGTCAGATACAGTTTTTGGGAGGACTGTGGGTAGTAGAACATCGCCTTGTTGGCTCCTCATGCTGAAATTTGGTGTATCGTCGGTTGATGAAATGCCCCAGACATAGCTAAGCGCCACATACTGAGTTCCTTGAAGAGCAGGCTCAACTATACGCGAGTTACAATCGATCAATTGAAGGCCCGTGATGTGCGATTTGCTCTTCGACCTTGAGCAGAGCCTTTTGTGGTAGCTCTGGCAATAGTCTAACCACATCCTTGCCAATGAAGGGTCGAAGTGCCGGTTGATAGGTTGTACGGAAAACAGCGGCGGTGAGGGATGATCAAGACGACGAAAGACAGCAAAGCCATGCTGTGCAGAACTCGAAAATATGTGCCATATTATGAGATGTTCAGGGAGAAGCTCCCAAGGCTCGATTGCTAGGCACCAAGAATCGTTGTCGGTAATAAGCTGATGACGCTCGATGGTGCTGCAACGCCTGTTGACAACGCCGGAACGCTCTACAAAACTGAAAGCATAAAGCTTGTCAAAATTTTGTCGGCGTTCAGCAGGGCGTCTCCATCGACGGGGAGGGGGTTTCAAGCGGGACAGAATGCGGCATAACACGCAATCAACATCCTGGGGTTGGCGATAATGCGTCCCAATATTCGTAACCCTTATAGATTCTCGTCCCACCGGGGATCTATCCAGGAAGGCCTTGTCAAAGGTAATCTTCAAGCAATCACTGCATAAGCTGAGGGCGGCAAGTTGCCCGTTGCGAGCCTTGTCTCCTACCGTAGACATGTTAGATGAGGGACTTGTTGTTTTCAGGCTCAGAGCAGGAATTTGAAAGCAAGGCTGTGCTTTCAGAGCAAGATTGCGGGCTGGGAAAACCGAGAGCCGGGGCGGGGTTATAGTTCATAGTGATTTTCAACCCCCCTGCGTTTTGGCCATTCTCGACAGCCTGGCCCCTGATGGCTTAACTGAGCCATGAGATTGAACATTCTCGACATTTGAGAAATCAGGCTTTGAATCATGTTTCGGGGCACAATTATGATAATTGAAGCAGAGCTTTTTCACGTTACTTGAAAATCTCCCCTTTATGTACAATAACAGTCGCCCTCGACGATTCCTCAAGCAGTGTATCCTTCACAAACCCCTCAACCCCAAGTCTTAACATGCGATCAAGATTCTCAATAGTCTTTTGAGAAAACCACGCGATATGACTCGTGATGGTCAGGTTCGGTACCGGCTCTTTCCCGTTTGTAACATCTGGGATCAGAGGCGTGGTTCCAATACCACCAGGCTCTGTCTCGAGCACATCTGTCGCAGCTCCAAAGATGGTGCCTTGTTTCAACGCTGTGGCCAGGGTACTTTCGCAGACGATTCCTCCTCTTGAAATATTCAGAAGTAGCGCCTCTGGTTTCATCAACTCGAATTCCGGGGCGGAAATAAGACCCAACGTCCCTGGTTCTCTTGGGCAACAAATGACAATAGTCGTGGCTGTCTTGAGGAGGTGCTCAAAATGAATCCTTCCGTCGCGGACATTGTTTTCACCTTTGCGCTCTGCAATCAAGACTTCCCCAAACCCTACACCTCTGGCCAGGCTTTCAACCTTACGACCGAGCGACCCGTATCCGATAATACCCAGGACCTCTTGCTGACAACTCAGAGGCGCCCCTTGTTTCCACCGAGGTGTCAAGGAGCCTTCTTTTACCCAGTACCTTTCCGGTGCAGTAACGGCATTGTGGACTTCGACAATCTTCCTTCGTGCAGCAAAATACAGTGCCAAAAAGTGCTCTCCCACTGCATCCACGTTGTTCTGTGGACAGTTGACGACAGTGATGCCTCTCTCCGCAAACGCTTGTCTGTCTAACCAATCGAACCCCGTTGCAGTGAGGGCGACGCACTGCAACTGAGGAGCGTGCTGAAGATGCTCAGGAGTGATGGGTGCGAAGCCCCCGAGGATGGCAATCGTCGCGTCTTTGATACGCTCTGGTATTTCATGAGGCTGGGTGCTTGGGTAACGGCGGCATGTGTGAGGGAAGGCAAACTGTGGAAGCGGCGCATTTGCTGCTTCGAGGAAGACGATGTGGTGCGGCATTTCCGTTGTGATTTCAGAATGAGACACGACGTGTTGAATAGGCAGATCTAGAACTGCTTAGGTCTGTATGTATTGTTTGAAGATTGTTGGTTTGCCGAGAGTGCCATACTTCTAAATACTGCCTTGCGGGGGGGTATCTCTTCAATCCTCCAGATCTCATCCCGCTTACATAGCGCCCGCTTAACACCCGCAAGCAAATCTTGGTCCCGCTAGGTCATTACCTAATGATTTCAGTAACGGCAGTTTTTCCCGAGTCTAGAAAAGAGCTAACGACGCCGCCTCGCGGTGTCTATCCACCATGCAATCCCATATCTACTTGTTCATGGAACGAGGCAGCAGGAATGTTTTTGGCCATTGGATTTCTAATCAGACGGTGTTCCTAGTAGAGGGAATTTTAGCCACTACAGTCATACCTTCAAGAAGTTCAAGGTTGCACACGGGGCAGAGAGGCTGCTTTCGAGATTCATTATACGATGGAATCTTGTACGCACTGAACTCCATTATCTTCTCATCTATTTCATGAACGGTTATTTTAATCCTAGCCAGCCAGTAGGTCGTCCACCAGGAGCTGCCTTGGCTAATACAACGGCCATTGTCATGTCGCGAGCGATAGGAGCCCATGTCTTATCCAATCCTTGCCTCGCAACTGGCTTGGGAGTGTTTGTATTCACAGTAAAAGAGAATTTCGCTTCTCCCTCCCAAGTCTTTGGGAGTTCCTTGACCAGGATCTTATCCGCTGGGACAGAAGAGGCATCGATTGTGATGTCCAGCTCTGGTGGCCCAGTCATGGGAGAAGCAATGGTGACTATGCCTTGCAAAGTCACACCAAGTGAAGTTGCATCATCCTTCGGGGTGACCTCGAATTTCTCGACAACTAATTGAGGGCGGGGCAAATTGACTTTGCGCTCCGTGTTCAACAATGGAATAGCATCAGACTCCAAAGCAGGAGTGTGAGGCGGAGGGATGCGATGGTGCGTTTTTACTTCGTACGCATTCGCCCACTGGAGTAGCTTGACATCATCGTACGCTCGACCAGCGAATGTCAAGTTGACTGGGACCCTCTTGTCGCTCATGAGTCCCATCGGCACCGAAACCGAAGGAATTCCCAAGTGACGCATGGCCCTGTTGCCGTTGCTGTAATAGGTGCCATTCCTCCACGCCAGGTCTGCCCCTTCGAAGCTTGAGTCCGCGTTGGCTGGCCCGACGTCCCCAGCTGCAGGGAACGCAACGCAGTCGCAGCCAAGGCCCTTGAGCCAATCTTCGAGAAGGACTTTACGCATCCCTTCTAGCGCCTTGACGGCTTCTTCCATGCCGTCTACTCCGAAAAAGGTTGTGTTGCGGAGGTAATCTGCTAGCTTGTGATATTGAATGGCATTGGCAGTTTCGAAATGTCGCAACTCAGGTTCCGTGCGAAGTGAGTCGGGATAAATAGTGAAAGGATCGATAGCGAAAAGGTCAGGAAGGGTAGAGTCGTTGAAGTCCTTCAAGAAATCGTTCCAGGCGTGTGCAATTAAGGCCCCTCTCTCCATTGCATTCCAGTCTTTTGGACGTCTAGGACACCCTTCCGGCAATAGTTCATCGTTCTCGTATGCCGTCATTGGAGGGAAATCAGGAACCAACACGATTTCAGCACCGAGTGCTTCGAGATCTTGCCGTGCTTGGTTCCATAGCTCGACAACAGCTGGGCTTGTTTCCACTTGTTTTGCACCCTCCGGTGCCGGGCCGCCGATAAACATTTCGGGGACTGCGATTCGCAGACCAGACAAGGACTTGAAGGAGGAAATCTCCTTGAATGAGCCTTTTGGCTTGTCCTGCCAGGGCTCCTGGATGTCGACAAACTTTTGCTCGCGCCAAAACTCGCCCTTCTCTATCGGGTCCTTGACGGCGACTACGTCCAAGAGAGCCAACAGGTCCTTTATTGATCGCGTGTGTGGAACGGGCACGTCGCAAGTCGGATACAAGGGCCAATTGCCCCGAACCGAGAGGAAACTTCTCGAGGGAGTGTAAGCGACTAAGCCGTTGTTCGAGGCGGGCGAGCGCCCAGATGACACTGTCTCAGCACCAAGTCCAAAGGCAGCGAACGATGCAGCAGTAGAGGCGGCAGACCCGTTGGAAGACCCTGACACAAAGGCTGCCGCAAGATAGTCGGGGTTGTATGGATTTTCGGCGCGACCATAGATGCCCCGTTGCATGCCACCGCAAGCTATAGCTGGCATATTCGTGCGACCGACAAGAATAGCGCCTGCGTCGCGAATTGTCTTGACTATGAAAGCATCTTCATTGGCAACAAGATCTTTGAACGCAGGCGACCCCGCCGCAGCGGTCATTCCCTTAGCCTTATAGCTGTCCTTAACAGTGAAGGGGATGCCCTCCAGGGGCCGCACTGGCTCCCCAGAAGCACGACGATCATCCGATCTCGCTGCCTCCTCAAAAATATTCTCGTTCAGGATAGGGATAGCGTTGAGGGCAATGTTTCTGCAATCATATGTGCTGATGCGGCGGAGGAAGCGGGCCGTCAGATCAACGCTGGTCAATGACCCCGAGGCCAATGCATTCTGCAAGTCTTCAAGGGAGGCTTCGACGAGGTTGAGTTGAGCCATGTTGGACTGGATAAAGATTTATGCAAATAATGCAATAATGTGTACTAGATGGACGGAGGAGATATTGAAAATCCGGGGGTGTGCCTTAAATGAACTTTGATAGACAAGGATTCTCGCGAGACTCCGAACGCTAGCGAATTTCCGCCCTCATCATGATTGGCTCAATGGGTCCACACCAGAAAAGACTTTCCCCTTTCTCTAAGCGAGGACGATAAGCTTTGACTTGCTGTAACTGGCTAGTTCCGTTCCATGAGAATAAACATACCTGATAAGAGTCGGCAGAATGAACGCCTGGGATGCTTGAATTGACATTCCGTTCTTGAACATAGCTGTGGATTCTGGATTCGTTCTTCCCTATCTTCTAAGCTCTGTAACGGTCTGTGGCCGCTTCGGATTGAGCTGAAGTAGTTATACACGAGAAAGAGTTTACCTAAATGAGGAGCTCTTAGGGGTGCAGCCCTGTGCTGAACGAGGCTTCATGTGAGAGAGATGTATCCAATCCCAGGGACAATCTCTTCATTTTAATGAAGGGCAAGGCATCAAGTTGATGGTCTACTGGTTAGTTGTTGCTGGAAAACTGAGGGAGTAATGCTTCTTGTTAATTCGTGTGTAGGGTAGTTAGGCAAGCATGGACATCCAGTTTTACCTTTGGACAACTTGGGAGATTAGAAAAGTCCTTCAGCAAGGAAGAATAGAAATTTCGATTTCGATAGAAGTCGGCATTCGTGTATAAGAAACTGGAGGTACTTGCTGACTGGGAATGTGGCTAGTCATGATTGCTAGCACTCCGACTTGCTCCATCGACTTCTGGTCTGAACGGACCACGAGCGCCAAGATCACCAATTATCACGTTCTAGACTGTCACGTGATAGGTCACATGGCGTTTCTGAGCTTCATGCATAAATCTTGAATGCTGAGCATTATTTTGTGTGTTAGGTCTATTTTTGCAGGACGGCATTCACAAATGTGGTCTATATTTGGAGGCAAGAGTTATGAGTTGCATCGAATTCTCGACACAAAAGAATCCCGTTACTACCTTATACAGATGCTATCTGCTACTCACCCACTGTCGTAACCTAGTACTTGTGTCCGTCTACCTAGATTATGTCTGGGTAGCGCCTCCATGACTGAATAGCCCCTAAGTGAAGAATCGGAACTTGGGAGACTTCTCTCCATCAGGAAGCTCTGAAGTATCGACATCCTGAGCCCGAAGATTCACGCCCTGCACCTTGTTCCTCCTGCGGTTCTCCATCTTCATCCACCCACCCAGAATCACAATCCCAGTCATGGCAATGACATTGCAGCAGCAAGTGAGGATCAGAGTAGGGATATACTTGGGCGCATACTCAGTGCGGAATGTAGCAGCCGACATGATTCCTGCAAAGTTGCCCAAGCCGACAAGCAGACCAGTGGTTGCGGCTCGGCTGCTCTCATTCAGATTGTTGTTATTGTGCCACGACTGGATGAGACAGGAAGGAATGTAAGAGCCGGAAGCCATGAGGAAGCAGGCAAAGTAAGCCACGGCCCGGTGGCTCAAGACGTCGATAGTGATGAGGATGATCATGCCAACCAGTGATGTAGCCAATGCCCCCAAGACGTGGAATGTTCGCTCGTGGAAGTAATCAGAAGACTTGGCGACGACGAGGAGCACAACGAATCCAACAGCGTTGGGTGCAACCGTATACAAGTTGGTCTTGATGACTGAGTATCCCAGTCGCTGAACAATCTGTGGCAGGAAGTTGGATGTAGTTGCAAAGGCGACGGGATACGTGAAGTTGATGATGCACCACAGACCAAACTTCCAGTCTTTCCACGTGGAGAAACACTCCTTCCAGGAAAACTTTGTCTCGACCGCATTCGAGCCATCACGAAGGGTTCGGGCGCGAGCTGCAGCCTTCTCTCGGTCGTTCAAGAACCACGCCGTGGCTGGGGAGGCAGGCAGCCAGAAGAAGGAGATGGCACCAACGATGACGGTCAAAACGCCTTCGATAAGCATCAGCCACTGCCAGCCCTGCAGTTTGGTTCCCTCGATCTGAAAGACACCGTAGGAGATGGCACCACTAAAGGCAGCCGCCAGCAGGGCGCTGCCGAAGAAGATGGCGATCCGGAAACCCAGCTCAGAACGACGGTAGAACAAAGTGAAGTAGAAGACGACACCGGCGAAGAAACCAGCCTCGCATGCACCCAGAATCAGGCGCAGGACAAGAATACCGGCAAAGTTCTTGCAAGCAATCTGCACGGTGGCAATGCCGCCCCAGCCGACCATCAATGTGGGCAGAACCCACTTTGCAGAGAACTTTTTGGTGAGCAGGTTGAGTGGGAGATCCAGGGTGCCAAAGGGGATGTAGAAGAGCAGGATGAGAAGGCTGTACTCGTTGCCCTTGAAGTTGAGGTCCTCTTCCAAACCGTCTGTCTTTGCGTTGCCCAGGTTGGAGCGGTCAACGGCGTTGAAGAAGTACATGAGAGAGAGGAAGGGCAAGAGGAACATGTCCAGTTTCTTGACTATGAATCGATGGTCAGTCTTTTGGGGAACAGGCGACATGGAATGAGTTCATCAAATCTCACCATATGAACGCTCAGCCTCTGGGTCTATGACAACGCTGTTGCCGGGATCTGCACCATTGACGGAAGACGACTCAAGGTCGTTGAAGTCGTCATTCTTGAGGTCGAAGTTTCCCTTCTCCATTGCCGTGTTTTGAACGCCCGTCATTGCGAATTAAGGAACCGTGAAGGTGTAGATGATTCGTAAATAACAAGGCTGGCCGTGATGAACGATTCTCATTCTGAAGAGTCTCTCGACGTTATATACACAGGTTATTTGGCCTGTGATGGTTGGTTGTACTTCCGGCATGGGTTCCGATTAGCGGCCAGGACTCAATCCTAGTCTGCTGGTAAGTAACACCGAACAGTCTCAAGAGGTACGTCACATCAATACCTCGTCAATGCTTATCACACGAGTCATTATCGGCCATCTCATTGGCTGAGCCCGTACGGCAAGTCTTAGCGAACCTCGCCTAGCTCTTCCTGGGCATAGAAACCCACACTCGCATCCAACAAAACCCCGCAGTTATCATTCCGCTTATCATCTGGTTATTGGCGAGTGTGGAGTGAGGAATCTTAACACTGCAAGGCATCCCGAGATCGTAATCTTCCCCAGAATCTTTTCTGGGGAAAGGGAACTCAGGATGCAACGGACGCGGAAACCCAAGATAGGCCCTCGAATTCGTTCCTTCGGGGGTTGTTTGACATGCAGAACCCGCAAGGTCAAGTGTGATGAGACGCATCCAGCCTGTCGCCAATGCCAGCGCTCACGACTCGTGTGCGGCGGCTATGAAGCCAAGATTCGGTTTGTGCACTTTTCACCTGACGGGACTGGGCCTCAAGGTGATGTCAAGCAGAATGACGACGGACACAGTCGCCGTATACTCTTCACTGGTATGTATGGATTAGGTTCATCTATTCGTTTGGAACCACCACCATGCTAACAGATCCTTCAAGAGTCGGAGCGGGCGGCCATGTCCAGGCACATGCAAGAAGTGATCGACGAGGATGAAATCGATCAAGTTCTGAGTACCCTCGACTCCGGCTGCGAGAGCCAGATATGTGAACTGCCACCGGACGGCCCATTCTTGGTTTTCTCCGCCAATGATGGTGAACCGACTTCTGAAGCAGCAGCTCAACCCATTCATGTGCACTCGGATCATACGGTGGTACTACCCGAACCACTTTCCTCTCACGGCCTGCAGCAGATCGTCAACGTAGACATTCCCAGCGTACCCAACCCTTGCTCGTGGCCTGAGACTGCTCTTCTCGAAACCGGGACCATCTCCGCGCTGGATGACATCCTCCTTGACGTTGATAACTCGGACGACCTCGGCGTGGACTTGTCGTCCTTTTCCATGATGCCGAGGGCATCACACATCCCTATTGCTCAAACAGCAAGCCCCTCTCCTTGGGACTTGTGCGTCAGTTATGATTTCACTTCATCCCTTGATACATCTGTTTCATCTCATGCACACTTCCTCCTTGAACACTACAAGTCCCAGATGGGAAAGCTCTTTTCTCCCCTCCGCGTTCGCAAATCCCCTTGGTCTATCCTACACTTTCCACGCGCCCTCTCCGCTCTATCAGAGCTGAGTATATTCAAGAGGACTAAACACGCCCACACGTCGCTCTTCTATTCAGTGTTGGCTGTCAGTGCCTTCAATTGGGATAACATCCACCGCCAACAAAAAGACAGTACGACATACTGGCGCAACGTTGGAGAGGGCTTCCGCCGCGGAGCAAGAAAGGAACTGGAACGGACGTGCGAGACGGAGTTGGCAGGAGAGAAGAGTTCAAAGTACAAAGATATTCTCATGGCCATCTTGACAATGGTCACCATTTCTGTAACTCCTCTTATTCCTTGGCCTTCTTCTCGCATTAAGCTCACATGAATTAGGTCGTCACGGGTCAACAAGAAGAAGCTCGTTCATATCTGCTCAACGCCGAACTATTCATCAGCCTTCGTGGAGCACCCAAAGTGAACAAGTCGAGGAAGGTCAAGCTCCTTCACTCTATCTACTTGTTTCTCCGAGTCATCGAGGAGAGCACCTACATGTACCCTCCCGAGAAACAGCCGCTTGTAAGCCTATCGCGTGCTCCAGAAAGCATGCTGTTCCCATCATTGCGAACACATAGTTTGTGCCTGGGGAGAGATCTTGATGAGTCGTGCGGCATGGATTTTGAGTTTGGGCTCTTCGGAGGACTCGCGAACCAGGAGAACCCCGCCTTTTTCAAGGAAATCTATGGTTTCCCGCAGGATCTTCTGTCCTTCATCTCGCGTGCCACGTTCCTGGCGAATCAAATCTCGATGCACAGAAGACGATTCTCAGAGCTCTCCATGACTACGGAGCTTGAGCACCGCTGCGCCGTTCTGGAGGGCGAGATCTGCTCATGGAACAACTACAGTGATGACACTGAGGGGGACGGCGACGATCCAATCGCCGCCTTTGCAAACCGCGCCATCATGTCCCATCTCATCACGGCCTTCCACTCTGCAGTCTTGATCTTTTTCTATCGACGGGTCCGCCAGTTACATCCTTTCCTCCTACAACCATTTGTGGAAAAGACAATCGCAAATCTCGAGGCGTTTGAGCAAGAGCAGCGCAACTTTTCGCTAGTCAACTGTGGTATCGTATGGCCAGGTTTCATCGCCGGGGCGGAAGCTGTCGATCCTGATCTACAGGCTCGATTCTACAAGCGCCTGCAAGAATGCTCAAGGTCGAGCGGGATGCAAAACTTTGGCTTTGCTGCTGAGTTTTTACAAGATTTCTGGGCGCTTCGCAGACAAAAGGGGAATGAGAACATGACCTGGATGGACATGGTTAGAGACAGACAGTTGGCATTGGTTCTCACATGAAACGCGGGTTTGGGTTGAACGGATATGTTCAGTTGGTGGTTATCAATGTCAAAATGATGTGCTTATTCCTCTTCCTCGCTGATCTGCATGACTGTTTTCTCAACTAATGTCAAACCCAATACTCCCAATCTACCTCCCATTCACTTGCGGAATGCTCCATTACTCAGAGCGTCCTCAACCTCAAAGTCAGGCTGAAACTCGCAGTACAAGCTTTCCGCACTCGAAGTCATCTTGAACGTGTAAGCAGCGACATCGTCGTCGACAATTCGCTTAGGAATGCCGTTTGCAGCGGCAGCTTCCGCAAGCAATTGGATCTGGCAGCTCTTCTCCATCAACGTGAACAGGTAGGCTGCCTCGTCAACCGTTTGGCCAACTGTCAAGAGACCATGGTTTGTAAGTGTCATGACCTTGCCATCTGGCCCGAGTGCCTCGGCGAGTCTCTTTCCTTCGTCTTCGTCGAAGACAACGCCTCCAAAATCCTCGTAGACTGCCTGTGCCTTGCCGTAAAAGACGCACGCATCTTGATTGATCATCTCCAGCGGCCTGCCAAAAGTTGACCAAGCCTTTCCATAAATCGTATGCGCATGGCAAGCAGCATTAACATCGGGTCTCGCCTTGTGGAGGGCGCTGTGAATAAGAAAGCCTGCTGCATTGGAGGGCCGGCTCATGTTGCCTCCAACGGCTTTGCCATCGTAGTCGACCAGGACCATGTCAGAGGCCAGCATCAATGGCCATGGACGACCGAGTGGATTGGTCCAGAAAGTATGAGGGTTTTCGGGATCGCGAACAGATATGTGACCAGCCATGCCCTCAGAGAAACCCTTACGAGCGAAGATGCGAAAGGTGGCGGCCATATGCTCAAGGATATGTGTTCGCTCTTCGTGGTAGGAGGGAAACTTGGGGATGCCCGCTAGGGTCATGCCCTGGGAAAGGGCCTCGAGAGCGGTCTTGTCTTCTTTGGCATGGGGAACCCATCGTTTCTTCTCTGACGATAGGCGATCGGTTGTTGGAGGTTCGATATCGGTGTTCGAATGTGGAGCCATGATTGTGAAGGAGATTGATATGAGTATCGGGAAAGGGCTTGCAGAGACTTTGGTGGATGATGGGAAGCAAAGAAGGATGTGATAATTAGATGTCAGATGCAAACACTGGCACGTCTGTGCATCAATAGATAAGAAATAGCACCATGCAAGTATTTATTGCCTGAGAGATACTCGTTATGCACGCATTGTCGCCCCCGAAGCTCAATGTGGAGAGTTTTCCCGAACTACTTGGGTTGGTGGATCTACCTTGTCTTCCATGGCAAGTTAGGCCGAAGCCATCTCGGGCTTACTCCCCATGGAAACATTTTGCATGGATCATTCCTTTCGTCCAATAATAACACCTGCCCTGAGCTGTATCCCAACACCCTGACCGTCTCCCCTCGTGAAAGCTACCCCGACCTTGTTCACAGCATCCACTGTCAGCTCGCGCGCTTTCTTCTTCTCGTCATCCGTCCATGCAGCAAAAACCATGGCGCCCATTCCATCCATCAAGATGTCTGCCACAGCCTCGGCTGTTTCAGCGCCGAAGTGGACCTCGACCTCACTGGCCTGAATGTCCCGGAACCCAGCTTCGTTGAGCAAGCCAACTGTATGTTCTGTTTTCAGCCATCCAGGTGACACTGGGACCTGAAACGGCGGGTCCTCAGGCTTGATATGCATCTGCACATCTCGGATAACGTCGACGTTTCGGGGCTCTGTCCAGATGGTGACTACGGCAACCCCGCCGGGCTGCAACGTGCGCCAGATCTCCTTGGCGCCTTTAGCCGGGTCGGCAAAGAACATCAAGCCCATGTTGGTAAATGAGTGGCTGAAGGTGCCATCAGGGAAAGCTAGCTCCTCTCCCATCATTATCGCGGTGTGGGCTTTGGTGCCAGAAGGAATCCCCTCCGCCGTGATACGAACCATGTTCTCGGCACCATCGACAGCATGAATTTCTGGCTGAGCAGCCGAGGTGAATTTAGACCGGAGGAGTATGTCAGTGACAATGCCGGTGCCGCAGGCATTGTCGAGGATTATCGATTTGTCATCTATTGGTTTGATGTTCTCTGCGAGACCAATACAATGCTCTGCCAGCTCGCGCGTGCAGCCGCCTGTGCGAGCTTCGTAAACTGCGGCATCCGCATTGAAATGTTCGATGATGGGATTTGGGGTGGACATTCTGTCTGTTTCGTATGTTGGAGGACAGCCAGCTTTGGGAATCAGATGGGAAAATTATAGTGTTCTTTGTTATAATTAAAGCCCGGCTCTTGGTGGGATAACTCAGATAGAAGACATTTGACAGGAAAAGCGGATCAGGATGAGAGGGTATTTGAGCTGTGCTTTGGGATTTTCGTCTCCGCCAAGTGATTACAAGCGTCGGATCCTTTAATCTGACATGCATAGGCGAGATATAAGAGAGCATACACTCGTAAGCTGACACACACCCATTTGACATATACCGCCGTTTGGGTCTAGGTTAGCACGCACATGAAGTAGTTCCCGCGCACGGGTTTTCTCTGGGATGGCCATGGATCACCGCAGCGGTCCTTTTTCCCGGAAAGGAGATGACGTATATCAATCCCCGAGGGGACCTTGGTGATGGATGGTGTGGGTGAGGCGCAATTGTCTCTTAAACAAGGCAGTTTCTGACTTTTGCTATGAATCGAAACAAGATGCGTTTCGATAATATGGGTCTAACATGATTGTCTTGTACAATTCAAGGCGGTTGAATTGTTTCTAATTCCACGGTGAATATAGTATAACCAGGCCCCATCTACAGTTATCCTCTATATAATAGTTGTTTCATCAATTGGTTCCTTACTCTCTCGCTTCTCCACAAACGCCAAATGTACGATGCCATCTTCGGACCTCTAAGGCGAGTCACGTGACTCCACCCCGCATTTACCCCAGACTTTGACCCTGTCGTCTTTCTCTTCCTTTTAACCCTTGATCTACGGTGACTTATCAGCCTTGAAGTCATGTATAATAAACAACGTCATGGCTGAATCAAGCTCAACCGGAAAATCTCAAGTAAGCCTACCTATTTCAACAACACCTGCCGTGCTGATACGTTTCCGCAGAGACTGCTTCCATGTCCAGAATGCCCCAGGAGGTTCACGCGTCCCAGCCATCTGAGTCGGCATCAGCTCACCCACCTTACGGCATCCCACAAGGACTTCATTCCTTGCCCCCGGTGCCAAAAGACTTTCAGCAGACGCGACGTCTTATTACGACACTTGCGCTCTACCCATCACGTAAAAGGACAGACGAAGCGCTCAGCTCAGAAGTCATGCTTTCGATGTGTTGAAAAGAAGCTGAAGTGTGAGCGTACTAGGCCATGCAATGGTTGCATCCGATCCTGTACTAGCTGCGAGTACCCCTCTTCGGAGGAGTTCGATGGCTTGATGCTTCATGGTTGCGATGCTGGCGGTGAAGGGCCTGATGTGCTTCCTGACGCTGAGCAGGCGCCCGACCAACACGACGAACCGACACCTACTCACAGGGGTTCATGGCCCTCATCTTTTACACATATCAGTGACCTGAATGACGCTTTGGTGGAGGCTTTACCCGAATCCATGTCATCACCGAGCTCATCCTTGATACGCCAAACCGATGATGGTCATACTTCGAGCCAATCTTGTGGGGTTGGTACTTTCAACGGCCTTCACGAGAACTCGACTATCCCCTCAAGTATTGATGCATCGCAACCATTTGATGCCTTGCTCACAGATATGGGCGACGAGGCCTTGACAGAAGGCTTTGCCATATCTCCTTCTTACATGTCTTTGATGCAGCCCAATTATCGGACCGGTGGCCTCGACTGGCTGAGTTTCGACATAGATAATGGCCCTCAAAACCTTCAACTAGGCACCTTCAATAATCTCTACATCCCAGATTCCTGGCCCTCGAACATGGACCAACGAGAGCATGAGACACAAGGGACTAGTGATCATGGTGTTGATAATAGGGCACAGCATGTACGCACTCATGCAGAAACAACACGGAATATTCCACCCACACGATCGCCAAACCTGCAACTATCTACTACTTCATGGCCATTCGATCAAGGGCATGACTCAATGCCACGTCGGTATCGACTTCCCCCTCTTCGTGACGTTTTGAGCGGCTGTTGGCGAGCGAATCGGCCCTCCCAGACAACAATCGTCGACGGCTTCATACGTATCCTGTCGGAGAGCCCCCTCCCGCAGCTTGCAAATCTACGGGACACCCACGCTGTCCAAGCATTCGGCGATCTACAGCGCCTGGTCGATTCCTACTTTGATCGGTTCCATGATGTGCAGGCGATTCTCCATAAACCCACTTGGGCCATGTCTTCGTGTCCACCTGCCCTCCTGACAGCTATGGCGTGTATTGGTGCGCTGCTCTCGGATAGAGAGTCAGATGCTGAGCTGTCCTGGGCCCTGGGCGAGATATGTTCTACTATGATTACCTGGATGGTATGCTTCCCTCACCCACGCAAGCTGTTTGACGCTTACCTTTCAAGGGCGCTTCGGATGCTACACACTATGGCGATGTTTCATATCTTAATGCTCTCTGCCTTCACCAAATCTACTCTCTGGGTTCAGGCAATAGGCAACTGTATCAGAGTGCAGACAGGTCTCGTGGTATCTTGATAGGCGGCCTACGGGGCATGGGCCTGTTGAAACCTCGATCTGCCGTCAGCTTGGACGAGAGAGGGGAAAATATTCCCATTTCTGAGGACAATCAAGTTCTTACTCAGGAGTGGAGAAATTGGATCATGAGAGAATCAGGGCGTAGGGCAGCTTGGGCAGCATTCGAGTACGACTGCAGCCTTTGCACTCTCACAAGTCGCCGAGGTGTCGTTGACTTGAGCGAGTTGCCTTCTCTTTTGCCGTGCCCCGAGTCGATATGGAACGCTACCTCAGCACAAGCCTGGTTTGCCCTCATGTCTCGCCTAGGGCCCGGTAGCTCGAGACCAAGTTTATCTTTGGTACTCAAGTTGGCACTAGCCGGAGAACAAATCCCCTCCTTCTTGGGGTCCTGGGCGAAGAGGCTTTGTTCGCAGGTCATGGGACGCTTACTGTGGGACCTCTGGCAGTTGGAAGTTGTCGCGATGCCCGAGTACTGCGGCCTTGGCTCCATTGTAAGCGCACACCGGGATACAAAGAAATCGATTCTCAAGAGCTTGAATAATATGGTTGATGCTCTGGCTGCGCCTTCGACAACTAGTGACCTGATTAGCTACAAGTAAGTGGACGATGATCTTGCAGGACCTACAAAGCTTACAATGCAAACAGCATCGCGAGCCTCCTTTGCCACTACTCGCATCTCTGTGCCGCAAATGGTGTCCTTGACCTCGTAATCTACATCGTACGCAATCTCGTTTCTTCGGCACCACAGCAACATAACGGAATTGAGGTCGCCCGCGCGCGTCTCAAGTTGACATTTGCCAAAGATCCCAAGACAGCAAGAAGGCTGTGCTGGCACGCGACTCAGATTGTTACGATTGCGAATGAGTACCTCGTTTCCGCCCCTTGTGAGATCATGCGGGTCTTCATGGGCTACATCTTCATTATTGCGTACTCGACCTACGGCCCCCATATGACTGCATCGCCGAGTGAGTATAGCCATAGTGTCCGACTCGATCTCCATGATCATCATCTATCTCAAAGACGAGTCGTGGTGAAATGGATCCAGGCAGGAGGGCCGGCGAGCTTTGGGTCTGTTCAAGATATTGGTACCGACAGCTGCGTTCCCGCTATTAGTCACGACGCCCAAGAGATGCTACAGAAGCTTAAATGCTGGGGATTGGCTGGTAAATTTACCAGAATATTCCAAGTGTTGGAAGAAAAAGGGTTCTAGTCCGAGAACGACACTTGTGCAAGGTGATGTGGGTTAACAAGTTTGGTGGCATTTAGAATATGGCTATACAATTGGGAGGACTGCTTACACCTCCAGGCATGTTAAGAGGCGCCGATGTAACAAAAAACTCCCATCTCTTCTCTTCCTTACAAATACTGCTGAGAGCTTCCAAATCA